CCATATGTCATTAAGTGTCCTACATATGATCTGAAGAAACCATATGATATTAAGTGTCCTACGTATCATCTGAAGAAACCATATGATATTAAGTGTCCTACATATCATCTGAAGAAACCATATGATATTAAGTGTCCTTCATATCATCTGAAGAAACCATATGATATTAAGTGTCCTACATATCATCTGAAGAAACCATATGACATTAAGTGTCCTACATATCATCTGAAGAAATCATATGTCATTAAGTGTCCTACATATGACCATCCGATAAAACCATATGTCATTAAGTGTCCTAAATATCATCTGAAGAAACCATATGATATTAAGTGTCCTACATATCATCTGAAGAAACCATATGTCATTAAGTGTCCTACATATGACCATCCGATAAACCATATGTCATTAAGTGTCCTAAATATCATCTGAAGAAACCATATGATATTAAGTGTCCTACATATGATCTGAAGAAACCATATGATATTAAGTGTCCTACATATCATCTGAAGAAACTGCATGTCATTAAGTGTCCTACATATCATCTGAAGAAACCATATGTCATTAAGTGTCCTACATATGATCTGAAGAAACCATATGATATTAAGTGTCCTACATATCATCTGAAGAAACCATATGATATTAAGCGTCCTAAATATCATCTGAAGAAACCATATGATATTAAGTGTCCTACATATCATCTGAAGAAACTGCATGTCATTAAGTGTCCTACATATCATCTGAAGAAACCATATGATATTAAGTGTCCTACATATGATCTGAAGAAACCATATGATATTAAGTGTCCTACGTATCATCTGAAGAAACCATATGATATTAAGTGTCCTACATATCATCTGAAGAAACCATATGATATTAGGTGTCCTACATATCATCCGATAAAACCATATGTCATTAAGTGTCCTACATATGATCATCCGATAAAACCATATGTCATTAAGTGTCCTACATATCATCCGATAAAACCATATGTCATTAAGTGTCCTACATATGATCATCCGATAAAATCATATGTCATTAAGGGTCCTACATATCATCTGAAGAAACCATATGTCATTAAGTGTCCTACATATGACCATCCGATAAAACCATTTGTCATTAAGTGTCCTAAATATCATCTGAAGAAACCATATGATATTAAGTGTCCTACATATCATCTGAAGAAACCATATGATATTAAGTGTCCTACATATCATCTGAAGAAACCATATGTCATTAAGTGTCCTACATATCATCTGAAGAAACCATATGTCATTAAGTGTCCTACATATGATCTGAAGAAACCATATGATATTAAGTGTCCTACATATCATCTGAAGAAACCATATGATATTAAGCGTCCTAAATATCATCTGAAGAAACCATATGATATTAAGTGTCCTAAATATCATCTGAAGAAACCATATGATATTAAGTGTCCTACATATCATCTGAAGAAACCATATGATATTAGGTGTCCTACATATCATCCGATAAAACCATATGTCATTAAGTGTCCTACATATGATCATCCGATAAAATCATATGTCATTAAGTGTCCTACGTATCATCTTATCATCTGAAGAAACCATGTGTCATTATGTGTCCTACATATCATCTGAAGAAACCATACACTGAAGCTAGATATTTAAGGAACTAGTTGTGTCATGTGAAAGAAGTTGCAGTTGTATTGGCTCTAGTTAAGATCATTTCTTCCGTACACAGGATGTAGTGACAGGATTCTATACTATGAATCAGACGATAGACACACATACATTATCCATTATGTTTTGTGATGTTAGCTCTTGGGCGTTGAGCTGATAGTAAATTTGTGCGATGTTGAGTGAAACCTAAAATAAAGTATTTATCCTATTCTGCAAGCATACGTATATCATCATAATGCTACGCACATATCCGTCGTCATTAGTAACTGAATTACGTAGCCTTTGAGAATGTTGTTTACGTACTTGTTATCGTTACAAGAACCCAGTTGGTCCCTGTAAACATCGAATATAAAATAAAAATATATAATTTCTTTTAAACGAGACACTGTTGCTCAGTGGGGGGTGACTTTGTACAATATCGCTGATACTATCTCCTGGCTTCGATGTTGGTACCTTTCTAGGAAAAGCCTTTATCTACAACGTATTGGTATTTCTTGACAAAGATGTGACCTGTGTGTGGTTCACTAGTCGTGATCATAATCCACCCTGGTGACATTAACATGAATGAAAATTCCACAACGTAGACCTTCCTTGATGCAGTGATTGATTGGACAAATGCCATTGGTTGTTTTAGAGACTACAAGGAAGATCTGTACGAGCCGGGTGACCTGCTTTTTCAAGACGGCAGCTGCCAGAGATCCGCCATGGAGATGCGGGTTAGAATTGATATTCAGCAACCCATTCTTGTCGTAGCAGACGACTTAGGGGATTCGGTGGTCAGGCGCGCTGACTTGATTGATTCATGTCATCGTGTCCAAGTTTCGTAGACCGATGTTCATGATGTGAATCACTGGTTTGTCTGGTTCAGACTCAATTATTTACATACCGCCGTCATACAGTTGGAAAGTCCATGATTGTGGCGTTAAACAACAAAGAAATACCATTGAGAGAAATTCTTCTTCTTCTTCTTCTTCTTATTATTATTGTTTACAGATGAAAATAAAAAATGCAGCATAGAGGGTTTGGGTGATCCTGGCACAGTGAGGCATGTTAGGCTCATCATCAGCTCAGGGCCCTTGCCCCCTCTACACGCAGCCCAGACAGCGAATGGGACTTCTCCCAGGAAGCGCTGCCTAGTCAAACCCACCCGGAACTTTTCGGAGAATGTGAAGACTCCCAGACACTGCAGCCTTCTGCATTACCCAGATTGTCAGAAGGGCTGTATTCCTGGAAGCAATCCCGGGTACTCTCCCAATGCCACTCAACAGATTGGGAGGTACCAAACCTTAGGCACCGAGAACAATGGGGAGTCGGACAACTTGGTACTTGGGATGCAAGCGTGACATTTCGAAAGCGAGGTCCGCATATTTGCCATGTTTTTCCTCAATCTTGTCAATCACATTAGTGTCAAAGGGGACAGTAAATTCAATGACATAAATGATTTCATTGGATTTATCAAAAAGGACAAGATCATGTTTGTTGGCCTGGATACGTCTAAGGCTGCAAATGGGCCTATTCCAAAGAATTTTGTATTTATCATTTCCCATGACGCCCTCTACATATTCCGGGTCGTACCATGGGTGGACCTCTGGGTCAAAACCACAAGCATGGCGAAGACGGTAATAAAAGGATCGAGCTACACCATCATGTCGCTTAAGATACTGTGTTTGTGCCAAAGCTGGGCATCCACTGACAATGTGTTGGACAGTCTCATTCAATTCATTACATAATCAACATTTCATATTACATTTTGATGCAAAATCACACATTGACGGTTTCGAGTGGGAAGTGACTGGTCCTGAGCAGCAAACAGAAAGCCTTCAGTTTCACTTTTCAGGCCAGGCGACTTCATCCAAGCGAAGGACTCTGCAGGATTGCTGATCTTCTCAACACACTGCACATAAACTCGATGCAGTGGTCGTTCAGAAAGCCTCTCCTTGAAAAACTGAGTCTGGGCCGACTTCGCTTGGTTGACACTCATTTCTGGGCTCGTTTTAGAAAACTGTGGAATGCGTTGTTTTCATCATGAGTCTTGACATGCTTTACAAGAGTGCACAAAATAATTCTATCATGAAGAGCCCTAACGTTAATAAAAAAACCACGTCCTTCCACAATGATTGGTAAATATATGCGATTGAGGGAAGAGCGAGGATGGTGGGATCTATTGTCTGCCATGATTCTTCGTGTGAGGTTGTCAATACCCTGATTATTATTATTATTATTATTATTATTATTATTATTATTATTATTATTATTATCATCTATACAAGAATATTTAATCAATATGTTCATGCAGTGACCAAAGCATATCGGTGTTGCATAGTAACTTAACGTCTCTATATTCTACAAATAGTGTCTTTGAATTACATGTATGAAGTAAAAATACCATGACACAAATGAATTAAATAGAACCAAAATTCTCAGGCAAATTATGTAGAGTAAGAATCCGAACAAACTACAGATTACAAACATAGCATGGCCTCGAGTATCTACCGAAACACCCCACAGGGCGGAAAGGCAAAATAGCGGTAGAAATGATTTGAATAAACCACTAAAAGTCAGTAATGAACCAGGTGCTCACAAAGAAGGCAAGTATGCCCTGCTCTAACCGTAGAACACGCCACTCGCATAAACTGGCATAAAAAAGTAAATGTTTGCCTGACGCCGAACAATGATACTCCTGTCATGCGAAGGCGGCCTGCAAACAAAACAGACAATCATGTCGTGGACCGGAAAATCCAGTGACACGATAGTGCATTTACTGAGGTTGTTAAAAGCAAAAACGATATGTTAATATTGAATTACGGTCACGTCAGCCATAAGGTTTTTCTACTGTCAAATTGAATTTGCGTAACTTATATACAACTGGTATTAGTCAATTGGACATATCGGAACATGATTTGAAACAACTTTCGATGGTTGTGCAGATATACATTTTAAAATAGTCATAATATATATGGACACCATGGCCAAGTTAAAACTTGGTAAATATTGTAGCTGACTTATTGATCAGCCCTACAAGTTTATTGATTATCGGTATCAAGTAGTCCCAGCCGCGCATGTGAATAAACAAATTATCAAGAACAAAACATATGTCAGAGAATGTTAACTGATGCATGTTCCAAGGAGACGTGAACAACTGAATTTTTTTTATTGCTGGCGGTTAGTTGACTGTTTTTACAGCATGCTGCACGAACCATTACGTATACTAGTAATCAACATAACAATAGCTGCAGCCATATATTGACAGTTTCATATGAATAATTATACTTGAAATCTGAGACCAGGAAGTGCGATATACTTGCACGTGGTGTATACGTAGGCATGACGTTTGGGCCGGCCCGCCTCGGAACAAATGATTCCAATGGACATCTGAGATTTCTCGCACGGTGAGTAAAACGGCTGTAATATATTAAGCAATTATAAGGAAAGAATTGCAATTCGAGATTGATTTGGATCTTTGATATGCGAGATAGGCACGCCAGCATTTTTGTGCATAATATAGTGATTGTACATTCATAGTTTTATTTTTTTCAGGCATATAAAAAGCAATAATATACACGACATATATTTAATTCACAATGTGTACATAGGTAGATACAGGCATGGTTTATTACATAAAATAGGTATTGATTCATTAAATTGTGAATTTGTCATTTAATTTCCAGATAGTTGATTGATGTACAGATAATTTCTCGTTTCATAATAAATTGATGTCAGATTGTTTATTAACGTGAGTAAGAGGCGACTGACAGGATCGGGTGGTCATTCACCGACCGCCATCATATAGCTAGAATATTGCGGAGTGCGGCGTTAAACAATTACAAACAAACAAAGAAACAAAATATTAACGTGATCTGTATTCATGTAAACATTGGTGCGATTATACAAATGCAGCACATTTGTTTGTGATACAATATTCTTGTTGCTAGTTGTGGAATATTTGGGGTATTGTTGTTTTCGTTGACTCTGTGTTCGATCGGTTTTTATCAATAGTTGTATAAAAGGTTTTAAATCTTATCAAAACATAATAACTGACAATGCCATATTTTAATTTATTTAGATTTCACCGTTGAAGACGCCACTATGCAGTTTATAACGTTTTACAAGTCGGCCCAGAGGTTGTATGGGAGAGTGTTCTTTCGCTACGGCCAACTTGTTGGACGTCATCCCGTCGTATTCATCGTCGCTGCACTGGTGTCAACGGGTCTCTTGGCTCTGGGTCTTCTTCGCATGGAGACGGAGACGGAGGTGGAGCGCCTGTACACCCCCATCAACAGCCAGGCGACTCAGGACCGAGAAACAATGAAGGCCATTTTTCCAGACCGGACAGGAACGAACTATAACACCTACAGTCTGAACGCCGAGGACAGATACGGGGAGGTCATCGCCATCACAGAAGGAAATATCTTCTCCAATACCAGCATTGACGAGATGAGGAACCTGGTAGACAAGATTAAACAGTTTAAAGTGGGTTTTCAAGGCAGGATAATCTACTACACGGATGTGTGTGCGCGCGCATCAGACGTGTGTGTCATCAGTGGTGGCTTCCTCTTACAAGATGACTTCCTGTCCTCTCTTGAGCAAGGTAACGTCACCTACCCGTTATGGAACGACGTTGACATCTCTTTCTTTGTAGCAGGTGTGAATGTCTCAGGCGAGGTTCTCCAATCAGCGTCAGTGATGAAACTCACCTTCCATCTGCGGCAGGACAATGACACGATGTTGGCGTCAACGCTCACGTGGGAAGACACATTTGTTGCACACATGAAGAACGAATCCTCTTTCTTTAAGCAGCCACGGGTTCATTTCGCGACGTCCCAGTCTCCAGGCGATGAACTCAACCAGAACACGGATGGTGACGTATACTGGTTCTCTCTGTCCTTTTCGATGCTGATCACATACGCCAGTCTCGTGGCTAGTGGGGACTGTGTTGGCTCCAGGAACCATCTTGCCAGAGCTGGAATCCTAGCTGCAGGATTCGGCATCCTGGCAGGCATTGGTTTGGTATGTCTCTGTGGTGTCAAGTGGGTGAACGTGGTCGGAATCATGCCCATCATGGTTCTAGGTAGGTATCGTAATGTTCAAGCTAGGTTTTAGGGTATTGTTTAACGCCGTACTCGGAAATATTCCTGCTCTATAACAGCGATCTGTGAATAATCAAGTCTAGTCCAGACAAGCAACTGATTGGTATTGTGAGAAACGCTCCACGCAGTCGGGGTTTCTAATGACACGCAATGAGCCAAGTCACCGAGCCCGATCACCCCATCAATTGAGTCTATTCTTACGACTAGCACAGGAATCCACCCGGGGTATTTCGTTAATAACACAAAACATGACATAAAATATTGATTTTTGTTACTTAGCCCCATTATCCAGCTGTCCACCTTTGAGGCTAATGTTAAGCTTTGTGTCGCACTCAGCAATATTCCAGCTATGTGACTGCGGTCTGTAAATGATAGTCCAGACAATCTGGTGATTGATATCATGATACGATGCATCAACCAAGTCAGCGAGCCTGACCACCCTATCCGTTCGACGCCTCTTACGACAAGCAGTCTCCTCTTACGACAAGCATGGGTTGCTGAAGACTAACCCGGATCTTTACGTCTTTAAGGTTAAGCTCGCAATATTTACCTAATGCATTGATTTCATGATTTCCAATTAATGATTGAATTGCAGTTTTAGCTACTATTGTGCTCCACTTACAGCTGTAGGAGTGGACGACATGTTCCTAATGATGTCGGCGTGGGCGGAGACTAACATCCACGGCGACGAGTGGGACATCCCAACACGTGTTGGACGCACCTTCAGCTTGGCTGGGGTCGGCATCACCATCACCTCCCTGACAGACTTCCTCGCTTTCATGATCGGAGCTTCCTCCGACTTCCTCGGTATCAGAAACTTCTGCATCTTCACAGGTGCGTAGAGGCGATGTAAACGAGGCAAATACACAATAATTCCCAATACATATAATGAGTTTCATGCATGGAACAGCTGGTATCCTATCTATTTGATAGTGATTCACAGACACATGTTCATGATATAGCAGTAGTCGGAATCGTACAAAGGATTCTGCTTTTGGTAGAGATTTCTTATGATTATGGAAATGGTTTTGTCGCTTTAGTTACATTCAACGTTAAACAAATCTCATGATGCAGTTGGCCGAGTGAGTGACCGAGTATGGTTTTACGCCGCTGTTTGCAATATTCCTGCAATATCACGGCGGGGGGCACCAGAAATGGGGTTCACGCATTGTACCCATGTCGGGATTGAACCCGGGTCTTCGGCGTGACGAGCGAACGCTTTAACCACTAGGCTACCCGACTGCCCCTCATGATGCAGTTGATATAAAAGAGTGACAGAATCAGTTGATATTCGTTTTATGGTTTAAACGAACACGCTTATAACGAACAGACGGACATAACGAAATGGCTTTTATCCTCGGCCATTTGCTGTTTATATGCTTATAACGAACTACGGTTATAACGACCTAAAATTAGTGGTCCCTTTGAGTTTGTTATAACCGTAGTTACCGTAGATAAATATTCTTCTAAATAACTTACATCACTGTGTTTTATAACAATAGTATTCATTCTCAGTAGATTCGGGTAAGTAATTGAACTTTACGTAGAATGTTCAAATAAGGTGAGAAATAAACATGTTCTGATTAATATTTTATATTTTTGACATGTACTGTATCCTATGTCTTATTTCAGGTGCGGCCATACTGTTGTGTTTCCTTTTTCAAACGACGTTTTTTGCCGGGTGCATGTCCCTTCAAGGACGACGTGTGGAAGCATCCCGCCATTGCTGCACGTGCCACAAGATCTCAAGTCGGGAGGCTCTTCGGGAACAAGGGAGGCCATTCCTGATTATATGCTGCTGTGGTGGCAAGCCGCCCCGTGAAAGACGTGATTCCATCTTTGAGAAATTCCCATCATTGTGTCTCACAAACTTTCTTCTCACCATCCCTGGCAAGGCCATAACGCTTTTGTTGTTTGTGGTCTACGTATCCGTCTCTATCTGGGGTGTAACAGGTTTAAAGCAGGGCTTATTCCTGAACCTTCTTGTCCCTCCATCTTCCTATTACTACAGCTATAGCTTATCCAACTATCACTACTTTGGGGTCAAGCTACCTGTCCAGTTTGTGTTTACCCAGGCAGATATTGATTACAGAAACGAGACCACACTCAAGCAGGTCAGGGAACTCTTCCATTATATAGGACAGTCTTCGACTATGAATAATGACAGTCAAGCATGTTGGCTTTTGGACTATGCTTCTTCTCAACAATTCAACATAACTTCAAACTCAGCCTTTGTTGAGAATTTGAAAAGGTTCTTAAATGACAGGTCTGATTTAAGAAATGATGTAGTGTTTGGTCCTAATGAAACCATAACGGCAGCCCGGTGCCACATGGTTTCAAGAAACGTCCCTGATTCAATGGACCAGGCTAGTCTAATGCTGTCAATGCGGCAGATATCCAAGTCCGGCCCGCTGCAAACATTTGCCTACCATCCCTTATTCATCTACTTTGAGCAGTTTGTGTCAGTCCTGCCAACGGTGCTGAGGACCGTTGGTGTTGCTGTAGCTGTCATGGTGGTCGTCACTGCCATCCTCCTCCCACACCCCGTCATTGTCCTCGCCGTCCTCTTCAACATCCTCATGATCTAGGGATCTTTGGCTTCATGGCTATCTGGGATTTGAGCCTCAGTGCCATCACAATGATCCACCTGGTGATGAGTGTTGGTTTCTCTGTGGACTTCACCGTCCACGTGTGTTCTGCCTATATGCTAAGTGAAGGAAAAACACGGAATGACCGTGCAAGGAACGCCATTACACACGCTGCTGGTCCCATATTCAATGGCGGCTTGTCAACATTTATAGGTATATGTACATTGGTGGCCTCACAGTCCTATGTGTTCCAGTCCTTCTTCCGCATAATGGTGTTGGTCATACTGTTTGGGATGTCACATGCAGTGCTTCTTATGCCGGTGTTGTTGTCCCTGATTGGTCCTATTGCCGATAACAGGACAGAACCTTCAAAGACCGTATACAAGGAAGAAATCTCAGCCTCAGGCCAGGCAAACGTGGAGTCATAATTTACAAATTATGGTTTATTTGTTCGATTGTTTGATTAACACTACACATAACAATGAGCGAGTTCGATCGCGCTATAGTACCACCACGGATCGACTAGAACGTCATCGAACGACCACTGGTCCAACTGAAGTGACGTCACAAGTCAACTACGGTCCCGCCACCTGACACGCTCTGGTTGCGCAGGCTTCAAAATGGCGGCTGTGTGAAGGTTTGTATTTTTTCAATTTACTAAAGCGAGGTAAACAGACTTAGTTAAAAAAAATTAAATGTTTAATCCTATGTAGTGGAAACTGTTTAGTACGTCTCCTTCAAATATACTTGCAACACATTGACATGTGTGTTGATTTTAGCGCTTTTGTTACCGGGAGTAGGCCTACAGTGCGCCACGGTTTGATCTCGACCCTAGGCCTATATATCAGTATATGTTAGTCACCCGTGTGTGTTTTTCTGTGATCAAAGTTTTAAATCAAATGCCACAAATTAGATGTAAAAATTACAAATAATGGAGATAATGTGTAAGTACAAGGTAAGTTTTTTTCAATATACTTCAACATAGGGGAAAGGGTCAGACATTGCACGCTTGTGACAGTTGGTCTTGTGTTAGGGGGATTGGGGTAGGGTGAAGTTTATGGCAGCATTGCTTTTAGACATGGGGAGGGGGGATAGCCAGGTGCGCGGAAGCTACATGTGTATGCCTAAATTTGTTAAAAGTACTGAATTAACTTTTTTTTTAAAGTGCTTAAAATGCCTAGAAATGTTGTAAAAAATTCTGGATGGCATGCCCCCTGACCCCCCTACAGTTTTCCTCTCTTTTTTTTGTTGGGGGGGAGGAGGGGGGACCTGCTCACATCCCTGATAATGTAATTTCTTGCGTTACAGAAGTTCCACGAAGTGTGACGTTTCCGAGCTGATTGAGAGCCCTTCCATGCTGATTGAAAAAATAGCAATAGAATTTTAGCCTGTCTGACAGAAAGTGCTGTTGACCAGGTAGGTCTTTGCAGGTTTTTTTTTTTTTAAATATGGAGATCTTTACTATTATCTGTAGTATATCTGTAGTATATTTCTATATCTATAGTACATTGTACAAACTCTAGATTGAAACTAACAGATAGACATTGTCAAGGTAGGCTGCTTGTCATGGCCTTGACAGTGCAGGGTTTGCCCTGATGCAGAAAGTTGCCTATTTGACTCCATCTAAGTAGGAAATAAGCAATATTATTTCCCCATTGCATCTGTTGTGACGCAAATCTTATAGTCTGTTAAAATGAATACCGTAAATCGTGAAATAAATGCGTCTCCAAAAGAATGCGACCTTTGGCCCCTTGCCAAAAATGTGACACAAAATGAATGTAACACCCCTCCTCTCAAGCATGAGTGGATTCATGTCAGGTTTATAGGAGAATCCTCACCTTAATCCAACCTTACATTAACGAACTGAATGAAGTTCAATGAACAGTGATGTGGAATACATAGGTTTTTTCAGCGTATGTCTTATTTGGTATTTCTGCTATCCAAAGTGTGTTGTTGTTGATGTAAATGAGATTTTTAATAATGCGAGCAAAGACCACTCACATTTTTCGCATTTAATTCACGCTCATGTTAATGTCAAGATTACAGTAACTTGCCTGTAAAAGCCATTGTCTATGAACAGAACAGTCTTAAGGCAGGCTATCAGTGGCAGCCAATCAGAATTATATGCCAGCTATATGACGGTGGTCTGTAAATAATCGAGTCTGGACCAGACAATACAGTGATTGACATCACGAGCATTGATCAACACAATTGCGATTGTTGACATGAATCTAGTCAGCGAGCCTGACCATGCGGTTCTTGTTTGTCGCCTCTTATGACAAGCATAGTCACCTTTTACGGTAAGCATGAGTTGCTGAAGACCTATTCTACCATGGATCTTCATGGGTAACTTGCTTGGTAGAACTATCTCGCTTTTTCAAGACTATAAATGTTATCTATCTATAGGCATTTATCCACTTGAAATTTCAGAATGAAGACTTTAGAAGTTACCAGAAATGGGACCATAATACGGGTCAATTGCACAGATGAGATTGCCACGATTTTGACGTCAAGGGGAACAGGTATGAAATATTTCTATGGTGACTGGAATTGAATTAAGCTGAGGAATGAAAATAAGTAGAGGTGAACAGCCTTATGTTGTTTGGTTTTTGTGCACATTAGTGCTTGTAGCACAAATTTCTTAGAATATGGAAGGAGTTTTGTTGCTTCCGTTTCAGGAAATTCCGATAGATGCCTATAAACCAAATGTAGGAATGTAGAAAAATAAAATCTGTGGCCAAAACAAAAACCTTGTAATCACAAATTTGCAATTTCCTAAAATATGTTCTGTTAAATAACTTATTTGAAATAACGGAAAACCGAATATCTGCTTTTTGTGAATCCTTGTTCAAACTTAGACCTTATTATTTCAGAACTTGCAGTCAAGGAATTGATCATAAATACCTTACTGAGAGATCAACATCCACAAAACCCACAGCAGTAACAAAAAGAAGCCACTCAAGAAGTATCAACTGATACTGGCAATACCAAATCCACTGGAAAATCAACAGCTGCTGCCATCGCCACCACTGAAGAATCAGGTGCTCATTTTTCCTCTGCTTCACCATGTCCACTGATTCACATATGGAAAGAGAATGAGGAATCACTTCTAACTCACCTGAGACATCAGAAAAGTGATGACTTTCAAGTGTCACGCAATCACAACACACTTTGGAAGGGAATATCCACAGAAATCAAAAACACCTTTAATGTTAACATCACTCCTCAACAGTGTCTCAACAAATATAATAGTTTGAAAAAGCGATGGAGAGAAATAATTGACAGCCCCAGTGGATCGGAGGCCAAGTACTTTCGGCTCCGTGAGGAATTTGACCAGCAATATGGTACCAAGGCATCTACACGGCCCAAAATGATCTTGGACAGCAACATGACTAATGAGGATAATTCCCAAGATGTTCAACATACATCTTCTGGTGTGAAGCCGAATTCAGAAAAAGGTGAAAAAGGACAAGAAAAGAAAGTTGTCACTGATGGATGTCATTGAGTCCCACCACAACCAGTTCAATGAACAGATAACAAGCATGCATAATGACAAGATGCGAAGAATAGATCGTCTTTTGGATCTCTATGAGGAGTCTGTAAAAAAAACAAATAACTGAACTTGCAGATGTTAAACAGACAGTTGCGTTCATGTTTTCTGTGTAGATGTTTAACACGTTTAACCTACTGATCATTAGGTTACTGGACACTAAGGCTCTGATTTGAATTTAGCATATATTGGAGTGGAGTTACACTTGTTACAACTGTTCACGTTGTAATCAGCCAGGGAGAAGAAAGCCATCCATCCAGGCTTGGCATTACAGCTCCATAAGTGCTGACTGTGCATTTGAAAATTGGATTGTCTCTATTACAGAAGTATCAATGCACACTGAAAGGAAACAAACAGTAGTATTTGGGTAGCAAAAAATAGCTGTTCACTTTTGTTTTGAACATGTCACATGAGGTTTTGAACATGTCACATGAGGCATCTTTCTTTATGTATGATCAACTCTAGCTAGATCTTATACCACTAAAATGCAGGGCAAAGATGGACAGCGTGCTATCTTCTCCCTGACTGATCATCCGTACATTTTCCTGTAATAAGGATATTTTTTTTGTGAACTGGGTAATGCAATGTTGTTATTATCTTGCTATTTAGGAATGTATTTACTTATTTATTTATTGAAGCGTAAAAGGATATAATGTTTAGTGAAATACTTCACACAAGAAAAAGAGAAACATTCCCCCATCAGATTCTCGTACAGTTCATGTACAGTGTAGTGTACTGATGCATTGCACACCATATCCAAACATGTGGTTTGTCACAAATTTGTTTACCCTTAAGCAAGGCTTAAGATATTTTTAATCATGTTTTCATTGCTATGAAACTGGTTTCATTGGACTGATGAACAGTAAATGTATTGGCCATGCCAGATAACGTGTCTTGGTGCTACAGAAAACATGTTCTTACTTTATATTTCACAAAGTTGTTATCAGAAAGTTTATGTGGGAGGATATCATTGACACCTTGTCTGTCTTTCCATCTTTTTTGTAATTTGTTTTTTCCTGTTTCCATGAAAACAAGTTATACTTGGCTGCAATGGATTAATATTAAAATTAAAAAAATAAAAATTCATGTTTCCATGGCAACAAGTTTACTGTAGTACATGGCGATGTGTTTCTCCGGACCACATCTCTGAAACTAATAGGCACTATTTCGTGAAACTGTACACAAATACCAGGAGGCTGTCAACTGGTGCCTTTTGCCTTTTAGAAAAAAAATTCTGTTTCCATGGTTACAAGTTTCATTTTTACTCTTTTCATAGTTTTGTGTACCTGACATGGAACTACGAAGATTTGTTCTTTCAAATGTGTGGGGGCTGGGAGATTTGTCATCTACGGATGACTCTTGTTAATAAAGAATTTGCTAAGCAGAAGTACATTCAGTTTGTTTTGCTCTTTAGTGTATCAGTCAAAACAAAGTAGTCAGGAAGAACACA